AATTTTGACCGGCTCAGAATTTAGTATATCAAATTACTTGCTCTAATTGCGAACTCTTTTATATTGGAGAAACTAGCCAAAACCTGAGTAAAACGCCGTAATCAACACAAAATAATTCACAAAATATCCCAAACAATTTAAAACAATGTTAACTGGCATATTAAAAATTTAAATCACAATATCGATTTTTTTAACCCTAAAATTTTACATTTTGAAGAGAATACAATTAAAAGAAGATTCGCTGAGGGGTTGTTTTTACAATTACATAACGACAAAGTGATAAACAAACGCTTTGACATACGGCCCTGAACGAAGCGAACACGTGGTTTCTTAATAGCGTGTCAAAATTCCTTAAAAAATAACAAATCCCATCGCCTTTTAAATTTTCCAAAAATATCAACACATGCTAAAAACTACTTTGAGAAAGTTGTGACATTTCTATCCTAAACTCCGAAGAGTAAATACATAGTTTCGACAACTGTCAAGTTATCATGATTATTAGTGTGTTTTACCATTTGTGATGTTTGTGTTAAAAAATACATATCTTATCAATGTGCACATACTCATACCATGGATTAATAATGGTTTCATATGCTATATTAGGGATACAAAATTGTAAGTGTTTTATTACTATTATTATATATTATTGTTTTTCCATGAAATTTCCTTTCATATAATTTATTTAGTTTTCAATTTTTATAGTTAACTTGATTACCACTGAATGATGGCTAAATGCTAGCCGAAACGTATGGATTTTTAAATAAATAAAATTTTTTAAAAAAACTCATACTATTTTTATTGATGTTACGCCCGAATATTAAACTCAAATTAAACATATATATATATATATATATATATAATATATATATATATATATATAAATTTTGATGAGTTATTTAGAATCGGGCAGTAACACCAAGTAAAAAAACTAAAGTAGTTTTGAAATACTTTATTTATCCATACGTTTCGGTCTTCATCGAGACCATCATTTAGTGGAAAAACTAAAAGATTTTATATAATGTAGGAGGAAAATTGTGTTTACAAATTTTGCGAAAGTGTAAAAAGACTGGCAAACATATGTTTTTAGTAACATAATAAAATAATAAAATACAAGTTTTATTCAGATATGGTGGTGTTTTGAAAATTGGTCAAGAATTATTTTATAGTCATTGCAAAGCGAATTGTTGTCAGTTGTTATATTTATGGCCGTCTCATTGTGTAAAGATATTTGGCATCCTTCGCTTAATCTTCTTTTAAATAAATTATTTTCGAAATGTAGGATCGTGGGATTGGAAAAATCAATGTTAAGTTTTGACTCACTTATGTAAACGCAATTACAATCTTTGCAATTACAATCTAAGCATTTACTTATATATATATATATATATATATATATATATATATATCAATAGATAAGTCCTGGATTTTTTCAATATATTGATTGTTCTTTTTCCGAACAGTAAATCCAATAATAAAAAACAATTTGTTTTTTGAAGATGTTTAATAACGACGTTTCGGAACTAGATACGTTCCATCATCAGGTTTATTCTGTCAAATACAATGTTTTTTAAAACTATTGATTAACATTAATTAATGATGGTCATTACAGATTATTTAGAAAAATTATAAAGGAATGGATTATGTACCAGTGTAAAGAATAATCAAAATTAACTAAAAAAGGTTTTATATAAAATTGAGAAGCAAAAATTATTTACCTGTAATAATTTATATATCCACATCACTAATATTTTTTGTTAAAAAACACTCGATTTTTTCGAGGA